AAATGTCACAAGTTGACTTCAGGGAAAAAAAATAAAACGTTTTTAAATGTGGGATATGAGCCTTTTAATATATGAATGCATTTTTATTGAAATCAGCGTGTTAGAGAATGTGCTGTTGCTCACCAGTAGTCGACCAAAGTTGTGCCAGAGTCATCTTTTTTTAAACAAAAAGTGTGAATGAGAGGCTCCACCCACTTCTAAAAGTCGACAAATTGGAGTAGAGAATGGAAAAAAGCACACTTCGTACTAGCTACCTGTGGGCAGAGCTGATGGATGATCTGAGCAGAATGAGGTCATTTTCCTGTATTGTAAGCTGAAAATCAGAGAATATTTATTGTACAATGTGACAGCATAATTCAGTGTTTGAGATATAAACAGAGTCATTCAGAGTGGTTTGGAGCAAAATGGTTCAGATTTCTTTACAGTGGTGGTGATAGGAACCAGGGGTCACCCTGACTACAACACAAATACAGACATTGTATTTACTATCCAAAACCATCAGTGAACCTAGTAGTGTCGAGTTTTATATGGAACATTGTTATGGTACAATAGTGATGAATCTGGAAAAATCCATTTTTTGGGGGTCTGTTTTGCCTAACAGTGCCCTGCATATTATGTATCCCTCCACCATGAATGGATTTTAAGGTCAACATCTTCTCATATTCATAACCATTTCATGTAATAACTTTGTGTGAGGGAGCTTTTAGTGGTGGATGTCTGGTTCCTATCACCACCACTGCAAACTGTTATGACTTGGCAAGTTTTTCTAGAATGGAGCATTTCACCCCAAACCACTATGAATGACTCTGTTTACATCATAAACAGTTAATTTTGCAGGAATCTATGTATACTGAAATCAGTGTCATATAAACTGGGTAAGATTAGCTATCTGTCCTCCTTAGTAAGATAAGTCTAATGCTCTATATTTTGTGTAGCGTTATACACAGAGTAATGGACGAAGGCCTTTTGGGATTTCTGCCCTGATTGTGGGATTTGACTTTGATGGTACGCCCAACCTCTACCAAACTGACCCTTCTGGAACGTACCACGCCTGGAAGGTAGGGGAGTTACTTTTATTTATCAAAAACGTCTATTGTGGCTATCTTTAAACATAGACTAAAGTACATTAGCATAAAGCTAAAAACAGTAGCAGCATTCTGAAGGCTAAATTTTGTGCTTGTATGTGTTTTGTCCAAACATGTTTTAGCTGACTGACTACATTCAGGGTGAAACAGAAATTGTGTAACGTTGATTTGCCAAACTATTCCTTAAACCTTTTGAATGCAACCATAAGAATATTAATAATATTAAGTCTCTGAGCTTCTTTGAATTATTCATCTGCTAAACTATGTTGTATGCAGGCCAATGCCATCGGGAGATCAGCGAAAACAGTCCGTGAATTCCTGGAGAAGCATTATAAAGAGGAGGAGATGGAATCTGATGAACTGGTCATAAAACTGGCTGTCCGAGCACTTCTAGAGGTACAAATGGAGAATGTGTAGTGAGAACTTTTAATAATGTCTACCTGGTTTATCACGCTAGAGAGCATTCCTGAGCAACACCAAAATTAATGGGATCTTATGGAGCTTTTGTGCAAGTCCAGTTTGCAAATGCTAATGCAGTAGCAGTAATGCCAACTAATCGGCACTTGGTAGCAGTAATGCTGACCAATCAGCGCTCATTAGCAGTAATGCTTACCAATAGGCACTCTGTTGCAGTAATGCCAACTAGTCAACACTCAATAGCAGTAATGCTAACCAGTCACTGCTCATTAGCAGTAATGCTAACCAATCAGCACTATGTAGCAGTAATGCTAACCAGTCAGCACTCAGTAGCAGTAATGGAGACTAATTAGCGCTCAGTAGCAGTATTGCAGACCAGTCAGCTCTCAGTAGAAGTAACGCAGACCAATCAGCACTCACTAGCAGTAATGCTAACCAATAGGCACTCAATATCATTACCCACAGTCCTCCGTCCTTTTTTTTTTGCCTGTTTACAGTTCATGCTGTTACTGTACTGTGTCCATAATTAACACCACTGTTCTCTTGGCTTACATTTACATTCTGTTCAACTTCAGTTTACTATAATTTTATTCTGTGTACACTTTAAATATGTAATTTGGTCACTCTTGATTGCCATGTTTGAGCTATTAAATGTACAAAAGACAGTGCAGAAGTTCAAGCACACCTCACTGATGTTTATCACTTTTACAGGTGGTGCAGACCGGAGGGAAAAATATTGAGCTTGCCACAATGAAGCGTGGTGAGACCATGAAGGTTTGTTCAATCTGGGCTGCATTATCAAGTCCTCTGATTAGTTTAATGACTGAATAATCAATTAAAATAAATAGAACTGCCTAGTCTTTTCAGGGGATTTACACTGATGTTAACATTTCTGCATAATGATATTAAGTGCTACATGTGCACCAGTCTACACTCTTGAAGATGGTTGTACAAGGGTTCTTTAAAGATATAGAACCATGAACACTTAAACACTTTGAATGATTAAAGGGCTGTTTTCATCATGAACGGTTCTTCAGACTGATTCAGAACATACTGCAGACAGTTCTATATAGAATCATCTGCAGCACATTCAATCTGAAGAACTCTTATAATGCAAAGAACCCTTTGGTTCTATATAGAATCATTCCTTTGTGTGTAGAGAAACTGGAATTGTTCACAGTGGTGGTGGTGGTGACAGGAACCAGACAGCCACCTCTAAAAGCTCCCTCACAGAAAGTTATTACATGACATGGTTATGAATACATTGCCTGATGACACTTATGATAGCTTTAAGAAGTCCAAAGAAAACTTGTACCATCAACATTCCATATAAAACTTGTGTGTAGGTACACTGGTGGTTTTGAATAGTAAATAAAATGTCTATATGTGTTGTAGTCATGGTGACCCCTGGTTCCTATCACCACCACCACCACAAAGAAAATCAACCATTTCACACCAAACCACTGACTTTACAGCTCAAGCATTAAACAGTACAGACATTTTGAAAAGGAGAAAAATTTAAGACTTCATTAGAAAATAAACACTGGAAGAAAAAATAAAAAAAAACACAAATGACAGTCACCACTAAATTCTACTCCTAAAGCCATGATTAACCTTGTGTGTGCCATTAGATTTTGGAGCCAGCTGAAGTAGAAAACATCGTCTCAGTCATCGAGAAAGAAAAGGAGGAAGCGGAGAAGAAAAAGAAAGCGGCAACATCCACCACCACATCCTAAACAAACCAGAAGAGTCTTCCAGAACAGCAGTAAAAGGGACCAGCTTCAGACATGCAAGGATTAATGCAAGAAATACACTCATCTTAATCAGCCATTTTCCATTTTATTAACAATGGTTCTTTTTTTTACAAAGTCCCCAGTTAATTCTTACTCAAACAATAAAGGAAAACTATCATTGAAAACAAAAGAAAAGCATTTGTTTTAAACCAATGTTTTGGGGAGCACATGCCAAAGGCTGACATCATTAGCCAGTCTATTTACATTCTGCAAATCCAGCAATATTTACATCAGAAGGCATAAATAAAAGTGTTGCATAGAATTAAATGTCTAGTTAAAGTGCATTTCAATCTTTGTGCAATCAGTTCATATTAAACATGTTCACATTAACCAATGACATAGCAGCAGTAATGCACTAGATACAACAATAATCTGAAGAGGAAAAGGTGGGGGGGGGAAACAAAATCTTAAGAGAACGAACACTTGTGTTGCTCCTGAAAACAGAATGCTTGAATCTGTATTTTCTTTAAATACTAGTTAAATGGTAGCAGAACCCAAAATTAAAGACCATATGAAAAATAAATTGGGAAAGATTTGGGAAGAGGAAAACCACCATACAAAAACCACATGATGGAAAACTGGTGAGGCATTCCCATCTGAAAGAGAGAAAGTAAATACATCAAATGAATTCTTTTGACCCATCAGTGCATCACTGGTCAGCAACAATCCTAAAAACTCCAAAAATCACTAAGTAAATACAGCTCTGTTCATGACTTTTAAATGACTCCAGGAATCCACAGGCACATTATCTAATCAAAGGCTGTTTGGCAAATATCAGTAGACTTAAAATTTGCATAGGTTAGCTGGGGGGGGCACCTATTTCTAGTTTTATCTAAAAATGTACGTTACTTAATTTGACAGACTATTGAACAGTCCGATGTAGATTACTAAACTCTACAGAGTATCAGTAACAACATACCAGTGGAGTAGCAGTAGTGAAGTATCTGAATACACTTAAGTAATTCTTGATGTTCTGTTTAATGTAAATTCCTTACATTAAGTAGATGTCTTAATGTTACATGAGGTAGACTTACTAAGCCTACCCCTCACCCTGGCCCTAATCCTAATTTTTGGCCACTTTTGGCCTGTTAGTTAGCTGCCCAGCCTAGTTCTGGTTAAGAACATAAGTTGCCAGCCCCTCAGTTTAAACAAAAAAGGTTCTTACTTTATCAATATACTCACTGGTCCATGCGAGCAGCATGAGAGTCAAAGATTACATTAACAGCACAAGGGTTTCTTTGTGCTGTGGTGTAGTAACAATTCAGTTGCTGTGCGGGTGGTCATAGGTATTCGTATATCATGGATTTTACAACGACTTCAAATGTGGCTCAATCAGATTTTAGGACCAGAACCATGTTTTATAACAGCCTGTTGATGTAACAGGTCTAATACAGACCATCAACATGTTCAGTAACCTCTAGAGATGAATAGACAGTGAAGTGTAATTCAGCAGATTAAAGTTGTTAATTAAAAGTCTCCTGATAATGTACTGAATGTACTCACTGCTGCCACATCATTGATGTCACAGAACATCACAGATTGCTATTGCCTGAGACTGCTTAGGAACACTTTTGCAAGAGATGTTTGGGGGACAAACTACACCAGCCTTGTGATTGGGGACACTGCTTACATCTGCACTACCCAGGTTAGAGAACAGCAGAAAGCTGGCAACACACCAGCCATTTAGCGGATATTGGAAAGTTATTCCCAGGACCTGCTTTGTACATGTGTATTTTATGCCCAATCTTGAAGATTAATCCACTTGAAAAGGTTCAAGGCTTTAAAGCTTATTTTTTTAAATATATAAATTGTGCTTAAAAACAGTACTCACTAATGCTCACAGCCTGCCACTTCCTACTGCCTGTGGAGCGGGCAAACGCTGGTTCATCCCTCTGCCCCGTCGTCCTCGGAAACCACCACGGAAACCACGGCCCCTCAAGAACCGTCCAGGCACTCCAAAAGTCTCCACGTTTCAGCTTACGCTCTTCTGCCCAGGTCGTACGTCTATGGAGATAACCAAATCAAGTACATCTGTACAACACATACTGTTAACAGACAGGCTGTTTAGGCTGCAGAATGGCTTTTGTTTTTAGCTTGATGCTAATCTACTTTAGCCCACAGTTTATATATACACAGGGTTCACACTTTAAAGGTTGGAATTCCAAGACTTTTCCCATGACAAAATAATCCACACGACGCATTTAGCATAGCACTGGGCAATATATTATCTATATCAGTATGTGTTACATTACTTCCCATTTTACAGATTTTTAGTGTTGTATTTGGTGTTCAGTGTTGTATTTGTAGAACACAAGTCGACACCACACTGCAGTAGTATCTGCTCCTTACAGGTACGCCTTTAGTGGGTCATTTCAGAATTGCAGTCACTTTCCCGACCCTTACAAGAGAATTTTAATGTGACCTTTGTTTATGGTAAAGCGTATTCAGTACAGAGTAATGCTGCTTTCAAGTGTAAGCGAGGCAAGTTTTGTACAAGGAGAAGCTCAACCCATCACATGCATTCACATTAGTTTTTGTGACAGATAAAGAGAATACCGAGGTTGTGAAATGGGTAGTATTAGCTTGCTGGTATACATCAGTCTTGGCCTATTTTACTGGTGTTTTGAATACATACACTCTTAAAGAATGGATAAAGATTCTTAAGTCTAAGTCTAAGCCACTTATCCTTCTGGGTCACAGGGGGTGTTGGAGCCTATCCCAGTGGTCATTGGGCAGAAGGCAGGATACACCCTGGACAGGTCGCCAGTCCATCACAGGGCAGACAGACATATACATCTGCACCATCACACACATTCACACCTAGGGGCAAGCCATGCTGCCCTACATAGGTTCTCTGGTAATGGGCAGCTATACGCACATCTCCTGTGCTCTCCATGTTAAAAATGGCAAGCCTCTTGACCTTTACGTGACATCCACAGCTGAGAGCACAGTACTGCAGCTCTGCAGCTAGACCCTTCTCATACCTTGCCTGGAGTTCTGAAGAGATGTTGTCAAAGAAGCTCTTTGCCTTGTTGTAGAAACACTTTGGGCCAAACACCTCTTCCACCGCTCCCTCACTGCTCTGGGTCTCCACTCCAGAGTCCACCTTCTCCTCTTTAGACTCTGTAGCACAACGAAGGGGTAAGAGCAGAACTGTTTGGCAAAGTATAGCGTACAGCCATGAGTGCATGTTGTAGGGTACAGTTAGTATTTGTTTTATATATTCCTAGTGATGCACTGAAACTAAAATACCTAGCTGAAACAAATAAGGCATAACCTGTACAACAAAAAAGTTTAATTTTCCATGTTACACTTGTATGAATAAATGTGCCAACAGAAAAAAGGACTTGACTACTTGCTTTTGCTTAAGGTCAGAGCCCGACGTGTTATTAACTCACATCCTTGAATGAATTGAGAAGTTGGTCACATCACTGACATGTTTAGGTTCTGTGCTTGTGCATGGCGAGTAATCAACTAGAAGTGCACTGTGCCCGAAACAGCAACTCTTAAAAAGGTACAAACATCTGTCCCACATTGAGGTAGAAGCCAATTACATGGTAGAAATTTTGGGATGGGTAATTACATTTCAGGGAACTGTACTGGCCACCACAGCCACCCCTTTAAACCACACATGGTGCACTATGAAATGTCTAAGAACTTAAATGCTAAGGAGTGAAAAATTTAAAAAGTACTACAGTAATAGTATCCACCTGCCCCTATAATATACTGTATAACTGACCAGCATGGGCAATAATTGGCCAAGACATCTTTAATTTAGCAAACAGTCAATTCTCTCAAATCATTTGTCAAGTGAAGGAAGAACCCTGACAGAACTTCAAGAAACCTGCAGTGAGAACCGTAGTAGAGTTTAGAGTAAGAAATGGTAAAGAGTGTTCATGAGGACTGTATAATGCCTGATTTACACCATCCTGATCATCTGGAGGGCAGAGCTGTTCATTTCATTCCTAAAGCTAAAGACATTTTGGATTAAACTGTCAAACTTGACATTAAGCTAAACTTTATCTGGGTTACCATATTTGCTGTATCAGTCATGTCAAAAGGTTATTTATATAGCGCTTTTTAATAACAGGTGTCACAAAGCAGCTTTACAGAAAAATCCAGGTCCAAGCCCCCATGAGTGACCATGGCAATGAAAAACTTAGTCCAAAAGGAAGAAAGAGAAACCAAGATTTAAAAGGGAAACGCATCCTTCTCTGGTCCACATTGGATAACAAGATGAGCAAAATGAACAAAGGATAAGGTTTCACCATAAAATATTAAAATGAACAATGTTAGGATCAGTTAGCCACTAGCTAGCTTTTCTAAACTTATCTTGAATCAGATTAAACAGTGCTCAAAATGAGTAAAACATTGAAGATGGGAGGACAGTGAGACTTTTGCAAATGCATGCATTTCCCCACACTCAAACAAACAGAATACCTTTTGACCCAGACACACAATGAAAGTCAGAGGTCAGCTGCTAACCTTGACCCCAGCACCTTCATGAATTTCTATCACAAGTGTAATTTGAGTGAACAGGTAAACAGCATTTGTTGTTCATGGTATCGTCACACTACAGATATCACAATATTGAGTACAAACACAGTATCAAGTGTGAAGGCACTGTGCAGGTTCACCACCTTAAAGAGGAAGTCCAATTGTTCAAGTTTTCCCACATAATTAAGTGGTTAAGATAGTTAAGAACAGTCATTTAGAGTGTTCTTTAGAGTGTTCTCTGCTCTGTTCTAAAGAAACTTACTGAGTCAGAATTGTTCATAGTGGTGGTGATAAGAACCAGACATCCACCTCAAAGTTCCCTCACAGAAATGTATATGAAATGGTTATGAATACACTGCCTGATGACAGACATTGCTTTATGATAGTCAAGAGATTCTGTACAAATTTAGTCATGGTGGGGTGATCCATGCAGGGCACTGTTGGGCAAAAAAAAGCAAGCTTATTTACCACTATTTTACCATTACAGAAGACATGTAGGTTCACTGATGGTTTTGGACAGTGAATAAAAAGGTTATATTTGTGTTGTCATGGTGACCCCTGGTTCCCATCACCACCAGTTTAAAGAAATCAACCATTTCACACCAAACTTTTGTAACAAATATGCTTAATTTTTAAACATTAGTGGAGTTTCCCTTTAAATCAATAAACTTAACAGATCCAAAGCAATCAAAACCACTATATGACCCATAAACAGGTGCATTACCAACCTTTGATACTCAGGTTGTCCTGAAGCTCCTTCGCAAGGTCATCCTTGTTGAACTGGGCGTTGGCTGTTTCAAAGTCAAAGTCTGACTCAAACTGAAGGGTGGTAGGCTTTGCTGTGCCCACAATGATTTGACCACGGCTGCGGTTCCTGGACCTACGATTGCCTGCACAGAAATGGAAGACACTTGTATAAACGCTCCACTAAAATACATCCTAAAATACAGAAGGAATAAGGGGAATACCCTGTCTCCTCCTCTGTGGCAGCCTGTTCTTGTCATTAGCTTGACTTTGTCCTTGTAAGTCATCCTGCTGAGCAGCTGTGACATCTAGAGGGCAAAAAACAAACAAAAAACACACCTGTCTCAGATGCTTTACAGTCCAGAAGGTATATGATGGAACAGCACAAGAAACGCTAATACTGCATGCACACAAGGCAAAGTCTGTTTTGGTTTTATACTCTGGCTACGAGGCTCACGTAGCAAGCAAGTAATGGAATTGAACACAGCATCAGGTCACGTCTGCCTCTAACTGCAAGAAGTTAAGGAGTCTTGCGTGGTTGCTGAGGCTGTATGACAAAAGAGTGGAAACCCATTTAATGCATTCTCTTATTTTAAAAAGGGATGCACTGATCACAATTTTTTTTTTACAGCCAAACTGGCTGATTTTTGGAACTTTAGTTCCAAAAAACTCACCGTGCAGACTAAATGAACACTTCAGTACTTTATTACCCAAATTTTGGTCTTTAAAGGGCTGAACTGCCATTTAATTTTTTCTTCAATTTTAAAGTCAGTCACCTACTTAAAGCATTAAGCAAATAAAGTGCTGTGTTGAAAGTAAGAGGCGAATGGGTCTTTAGCACAATGCATCACGTACGATTACGCAAAATCTTGGTTCAGGTGTAGCAGTGGTTCAAAAACAGAGTGGGTGGTCTTGCCTGCCTCACATTCACCTCAAAACTGCAGCACAGAGCAGCCAAAATAAACTGGCTGATTGCACACTGCATTTTGAGCAAAAACCTGCAAATTTCAATGCATCCCTGGTATTATAACATTAAATAAAATTAAGAAACAAATGCGCATAAAAATCACCAACATTCAGAGGTCTGAATGGTCACTTAATATGGACACATTTGGTAAAATGCTATAAATTATGATTGACACACCTTTGTCTTACAAAGGGGATAAATAAACCTAGTGAAGGAAAGTACACACAATAGCTAGTTAAGTATGGTTTTTCAAGGGTTCTATAGTAATGAAAATGCCTCTAAATAGAGTCATGAACACTCAAAGAACCCTTTACATGAATATATAGAACCATTATAGAACTATATAGAACCACTCTTTACTATAGAACAATCTTTAAGAGTGTACATTTCTTGCGTAGCCCGAGTGCAAAACTAAAGAAATGACAGCAAAACACGTCTATTTAGGGTAAGAGGGGTAACTTTTCACCCAAACTGTCACTTCACATATCAGCTGTATAGGCAGAGAGATGATCTTACTGCTGGTCCCACCACCACGCTGTGTCTGAGGGCTCCCCCTGCCGGCTCTCTGCGCTCTGCCGCCGTCTCGTCCCTGCTGTTGCTGCGGCGCTGCAGGCAGACCTTTCTTCGGAGCCGCTTTCTCCACAGGAACCGTCTGGACGGCCTGCTCAACCATCGGGACCTCTTCTTACAGGGCCATGCAGACCTGTACCTGGATTCAGAGGTTTCACACAGGACCAATTAACATTCATTAACAAACCAGCTACAAAACCTCTACTTAAAAGAGGAATTTCTCTCTTTCAGAAGTAATTTGCTAGGATTGTAAAGTCAGAGTGGTTTGGTGTGAAATGCTCTGCTCTAGAGAAACTTACCGTGTCAGACTTATTCACAGTGGTGGTGACAGCAACCAGGGAGCGTGTTACAGAAACGTCCTTTTTGTCTTAAGATCTGACAGGTCAAGATAAGATTTCACAAATTCATATTACAGAAGCAAATCTTATCTTAATGTAGGAATCTTATAGCAGCTTCTCATCTCAAGTTAGGAAATCTTAACTTACTCGATTGAAGTCGACAATCAACGGTCGTGTCTGTTACCTAGCAACCGACTATACGTGTTTATGCTTCAGGTGTGCGCGTAATCAAGTTAGTTAGCCAGACAGCTAACGTTAGCTACCGTTACTTGTGTAAAAAAGGTCAAATAAAACTAAAGCGCGATAAACTGAAAGTTAAGAATATTGTGACAGCGCTTCGTGCTGTTTATCAGAGCGTCGCAACTCGAAGGTTTATTTCCCCAAACGCTTTAGCCGAGCACGCTAACGTTATTCCACCTAATAAACAGACATGTTCAGCTCTGTCTCCTCATTATTCACCACCATCACTGTAATTTTATCAACATTAACACACGAAGGTAATAAGAGGGGACGAAATGCTGTTAAAAAAAAAAAAACTCGTCAAAGCACCGTTCAGTGTACAAAAATGCAACGTCATTATGCTACTTAGTGAAATGTGCTGCCTATCACTGCATAAACCAATAGAAACATACGATTAAAACAAGCTGAGACAGCTCTGGGGTTGTCTTAAAGATAAGAAAATATTTAGGATATTTTGGCAACTTGATCTTTCTGTAATACCGTTTTCTTATCTGGAAATAAAATAAGATTATAGACTTAAGAACTGTTCTGTAATGGCCTCTGTCCTAACTGAAGCTGCCATGACAAAGCAGATAAGATAGGATCTCAGACCTGAGTCTTCTGTAATATGCCCCAGTCCACCTGTAAAGCACCCTCACAGAAAGTTTTCATAACCATTTCATGTATGCACTGCACTGAGTGATTAAGATAACTGTTAAAGAACTGTATCATTGAGTTTGTTCTTGTTTTTCATTTGGTTTTGGACCCTGATTTGATTTTGCTGGTTGTGGTAGTGTGTGCTTCCTTCTTGGCCAGGGATCACTTGTAAAAGAGATTATTAATCTCAATGTGATTACATTGGTTAAATAAAGGTAAAATAAAAAAAATTTGGCCTTAAAATCCATTCATGGTGGAGGGATAAGTAATATGCAGGATGTGATGCAAAACAGCCCCCAAAGAAAACTTAATTACTTATCACTTTTACCATCATCAACATTCAATATAAAACTCAGAAGACACGTAGGTTCACTGGTGGTTTTGGACAATAAATAGTGTCTATATTTGTGTTGTAGTCATGGCGACCCCTGGTTCCCATCACCACCACTAAAGAAACAACCATTTCAACATGTATTAGGATCCAGGATGCAGACACTGAAGCAAAAACAAGCGAGTTTTAAGTTGGCAGTTTCCTTTTTCAAGTACAGGGAAAGCATCCATAACTGACTGTACGATGTGATGCAGATATTGAACTCATTTTAGCTTAAATAATAAGCTAACATTTAACTAGTAAAAAAAAATGATCGAGAAGGTGTTGTATATGGTTCCATGAAGAACCTTCTTGAAAAAGATCCTATATAGCACCAAAAAGGGTTCAGCTACTGTTATAAGCTTCAAATCCTGACAAAAGAACCCTTTTTGGTGCTATAAACGTATTCAACCATACTCTAAAAGGTTCTATCAAGAACCATATACAAATTCATCAATCTTAAGAACCATTTCACCAAAAGGGCTCTATTTTGATGATGGTTCTAAAAGAACTATTGTCTTTACTTAAGAACCCTTGAACCATCTTAGAGTCAAGAAGAAATGAAGGAAAAAGTAAATCAGCTGAGTGGAATGAGTGATAAAGTGGCATTTTGTCTAATATTCCACCACCAGCGAGCCACCTGAAAAATGCTGAGCAGAAAGCCAGAGGGCGCCAGCGGGCCAAGTTGCCCAAGTTGTCTTAATTATCTGAGAAGATGCAGACTTGCATGTCAAACGTTCACCAAATTTGAACTCACAGTTTCACCCATGAAATTGAACCACCTCAAAAGCTTGGGATGCCTATCTGAAACATAACTCACAAAAATCATGAAAAAAAAAATTGCTGGTAAACACTAGAGTGACTGGGCCTTTACACAGGACACAGTGACTGAACTCATTGCCAAGCCACCAATTTCCATCTAAAGACAAAGGCTTTGCTTAGACAAATCCACAAAATCCTCTATTGTCCAATCAGATTAAAGCTAGATTTGTGGATTTCATGCAGCTTGTCTCCAGCCTGACATACACATTATCATCTGTAACTTGTAATACAGAAATCCATCTTGAACTACATATGATTTGCCCTGCTGAGTGAACACAGCCGAAGGGTGGGCTGCACCAACAAGAATTAAATCACAGTTTTAATCAAGGATTGGTTAATCTAGGTTTTATTTTAAAGAGTTGTGTTGCACCACTTTTAAACATTTACAAATCTCAGATTAAAGCCTTAATCTGCCACAATTTTTAAACTAAATTTCTGAACATTTGAAAGTTTGGAGCAGCATGACAGACAAACCTTGATTTAATATATAAAAAAAAAAAGATTTTTTTTTTTTACATTTTTGAATAACTCAGTCCTTGAGATGTAAACAGTCATTCAGAGCAGTTTGGTGTGAAATGGTTCAGATTTCTTTACAGTGGTGGCGACAGGAACCAGGGGTCACCATGACTACAACACAAATATAGACATTTTATTTACTATCCAAAATCACCAGTGAACCTACACATGTCTGAGTTTCATATAGAATGTTGATGGTATGTCTCAGGCATCAGGCAGGGCATTCATAGCCATTTCATGTACCAACTTTCTTTGAGGGAGCTTCTAGAGGTGGATGTCTGGTTCCTATCACCACCACTGTGAACCAATCTGAGTCAGTAAGTTTCTCCAGAACAGAGCATTACACCAAACCACTCTGAACGACTTTTTACATCAACCAGTTAAGTTTTAAATCTGTAGAGTTGCCCTTATAAACTTAATCCTTGTTGGTGCATCCCTACCCGAAGAGAACCATCCAACGACCTGCTTTAACCGTTTCCTCACCCAGGCCTAGAGCAGTCGCGTACTGCTGGTTGAGCAGAGAGCTGGCAGCAAGCTGGTTATAAGAAGGCATCACAGTTCTGTAGGGACTATACCCGCCGGGAGGACCATACGATATGGACGAGCTGCCCACAGAAGACTGGAAGAAGAAAAAAGGGAACAAATGAAAGGAGATAAGCATTAAGATTAATAACACAGACAGTCATTAACACTACATTTTAGGTCAAACCTGAACAATCGCAGGATCCTGAGGCAAACCATGGTGCAGCTTTGGAGGCTCACAGACAGTGATGTCTTTAATGTCACTTCCTCTGAAGATTATGTAGTCAAAGACTTCATCCCTCGGTGGCACAGGCCGGTCAGTAGGTCGCCCCTCGGTTCCAAAGGACCTCACTGGCCAGAAATAAACCAAAACATTTGTTCAGTTATGGTCATCAGTTCGGCTTAGCATAAATGCAGCCCACGTTCAGTGTCTGAAGTCTGCTTTTCTGGCTTTGAACAGAAACTAAGCTGCACATACTGTACCAATTTTGTGAGATCACAAAACCCAGCACATGTACTTACACCTATATGTTTACACGCTAAAAAAGACTGTTCGAGGGTTCTTTAGTAAAGAAAATATAGAACCATGAACACAAAGAACCTTTTGAATGATTAAAGTGTTCTTTAGATAGAAGAGAAGACCTTTTTGGTGCTATATAGAACCCTCTCCAAAAAGGTTCAATACAGAACCATCTAGAGCACATTCTTCACCAATCTGAAGAACGCTTTCATGATGCAAAGAATCCTTTAATCATGCAAAGGGTTCTTTGAGTGTTCATGATTCTTTAGAACTATTTTCTTTGCTAAAGAACCCTTGATGAACCATTTTTAGGTGTGTACCCAGTTACGTGTTGATTTAAGTACACACATGCACAGGGCAGCCAATCAGAACAGAGGTCATTACATATCAGTCTTAAAGGCACAGTAACAAAAACAGCCTATTTAATTCGTAAAAGAAAGGCTGAGAAAATAAGCACAAAAAGTTTCATAAGTGCACCTTAGGGTAGGGGAGGGGGTGGAACCAAACAAAAAGCATAGAATAGGGGCCCTTTAAAGCTTACAGCCCACAAGCATCATGCAACCCATCAAATCAAACACACTGGCTAGCCAAGTACATTTGAGATAGGGCAAAAAGACTAAGGTAGGGCTCTCCAGGACCAGGGTTACTTTGCTTCAGAATCTAGTTGCAACCACAACCTGCTCCACCTGCTCCAGCTAATTAACTTGTTCAGAAGCTCCTGACAGGCTGGATCAGATGCATCAGTGTCAGGTAAGGAGGGGAAGCATTTTAGATGTAGGTTGGAACTAAACTCTGCAGGACAGTAGATCTCCAGGAGGAGGCTCCGGTGACTCAGGCGACTCAGGCCTCGGAATCAGCTTCAAAGTTTCAGTAAATCGAATAAACTACACTCTTGAAATAGGATGGTTCTTAAAGGGCTCTTTAGTAAAGACAAGAGATCTATAAAGAATCATGAACACTCAAAGAACCATTTGAATGATTAAAAGCCTGGTTCTTTGCATGGTGGAAGAGTTCTTCAGATTGACAGAGAATGTGCTGTAGATGCTTCCATATAGAATCTTTCTGAAAAGGGCTCTTTATAGCACCAAAAAGGCTTCCACTACTACCAAAGAACCCTTGTTACTATATAGAACCCTTTTTGCTAAAAGTGTGTACACTCATGGCTCTTCAAGGGTTCTTTAGTAAAGACAACAGTTCTATACAGAACCATGAACACTCAATGAACCATGTGAAAGCTTGAAAGCATTCTTTGCATTGTGAAATGATTCTTCAGATTGATGGTTCTAGATAGCACCAAAGGTTCTTCTATTGTTAAAAGCTTGACATCATAATAGAACACTTTGGCACTATATAGAACCACGTACAACATTCTCCATCAATTTGAAGAACCATTTCACCATGCAGAGACCCATTTAAACATGCAAATGGCTCTATACACACATACTTAAAAAAGATGGTTCTTTAGTGATAGGAATGGTTCTGTTTAGAAACATGTCTACCCTTTAAAAATGATGGGTCACAGGCTCTTTAGTAATGAAAATAGTTCTATATAGAACCATGGACACTTAAAGAACCCTTTTGTATGATTAAAGGTTTCTTCAGATTAATGGAGAGTTTCATATGGCTCTATACAGAATTTGTGTGAAAAGGGTTCTACTTAGCAATAAAATGGTTCTAAAAAAGTCTGATATCACCACAATATAAGAGCACTTTTGGTGCTATACAGAACCCTATCCAGAAAGGTTCTATAAAGATCCATCTACAGCATATTCTTCAATTTACACCATCATCTACTTGTCAGTCATGCAAATGGTTCTTTGAGTGTTCATTCTTTGCAGCATTCTTTGCACCTTTTTGAAAAGGGTTCTGTATAGCACCAAAAGGGTTCCTATATTATGATGTCAAACCTAACAACAGAAGAACCCTTTTTGTTGCTATACAGAACCTTTTCACAAAGATTCTATACAGAACCATCTACAGCACACTCCATCAATCTGAAGATCCCTTTAATCATGAAAAGGATTCTATGAATTCTCATGGTCTTATACAGAACCATTTTCTTTACTAAAGAACCCTTAAAGAGCCATCATTTTTTAAGAGGGAAGATACAAAGGTTCTAAACAGAACCATCTTTAAGACTGCAGCTTGGATTCGTGGAGAAAAGGGAGAAAAAGCCCTCAGACGCACTCTTACCTTTCGCTAAGGCCACAGTGGAGTTGTCTGTGTCGATAGTGTACAATATTCCCTCATAGCGAATCTGCGCCTTCGAGATGAGGCTGATTTTACTGCCGATGTACGGCGTGCCGGAGCTCATACTGACTTCAGCGACTCTAATGCAGTTTACCAACGACAAAACCCGCTCAAATGGAGCTTTAACATTCCCTAAATCTCCTAAACTCGCAAGCTAAGCTCACATTTTCACCCGCACGAGGCCTCTAAAAGCTCTGGAGAAGTGCGTGGTGAACGCCAGATCATTTATAGAGAACCACCTGGGCGGCCAGGCCGCGCCCCCTTCAGGTGCTTACAGCTGCGGCGTATTCTCGCCACCAATCGCAACGCTGCCTGTTTTGGCGCCATCATTTTTTATTTATTTATTTATTTTTTAATTTTAGGCACTTTTACCACATTTACAGTGCAGATTAAAGTCCTTCAGTGTGAAAAATCAGCAAAGAAAAGAAAAGAGAGGTAAATAAGTAAAATCAACAAATAATGGATGGAACAAATAAAAGCAGTGACAGAAAAAAAAACAATAACAAAAATTAGTAACTAATATAATACTTATTAGTTATTATAGTTATATAAATATTATAATTATTATATTTGCATTTGCCCAATAATTAAAATCACCATTATTTATTAATTAAACTCATGATAAAACTGAATCTTCCCTCTTCACTTTAATATAAATAAAATGTCTTTAAGGAAAACACAAAAACTACATACATTTTAAAAAATACCAAAAATGTAAGTACTTATAAGTGTACATTTAGGGGTTAGGGTTTGGGACAGACATCTCCCACTAGAAAGTACCCTTTAAATGATGATTTTGTATATTTAGTTTACTACTGTTTCACAGGTGAGAATAAAAACGCTATTTAAGATCATCATCTTATTCTTAGATGTATCTTGATACATATTATTGGCCTAATAATAACAGCTTTATTGTGTGTCCTAAGTAATTCATTGTGATAACTTCAGCTCATGTTCAGTTGGTTGTGACGTATAGGTTAGTAGCATTAATGTCAGTTGGCTTCTTGTCAATACAGCAGACTAGGCTAGCTAGCTAACTTTATCTAGCAGTGTGGCTATATTTACTGTAATGAGGTACAGACCTGAACAGAATACATTACAAAAGTTAATAAATACAAAAGAGTACATTAATAAACAAAAAAATCTCAGTTAAGATGACCATTTATTGGGAACAGAGACCTGTTTAGCACCACACAGTTTAGCAATGTATTTCAAATACTATAACATTGGAATTTGGACAGCTGAAAAAATATTTTAAGAGTTTTGGAGATCATTGTTAGCCTACACTGTTAGAAATAAAGGTTCTGTGCAGGTACGTTTTTTGTTCATCAAGGCATAAACAATATAAATGTCCCCTCAAAGTTACAACAGTGGTTTTACAGTCGAGTTGTGAACCTTAAATGAGTTTTTCTAGGTGAAAAGTATATATTTGTACCTTTTCATAACCTAATGTTTTAAAGCAGAACAATAAAATAAAAAGCCTGGAGATGAGACGGGGTGTGTGGAGTCAAAAATATAGAAAATATAATTTCAATAGATTATATTACAATTATGTTCCCTAATTAAAGGTACCAAGACGTATCCTTGAGGGTACCGCCACAGTGGCAAGTGGGGTACTGCCCCAGTGACAGTTTAGAATAGTTTTTCTTTCTGAGAGTGTACTTTGTAGATGTATAAACAATGCAGGAACGTTACTTTGCAAGGAAAACTGCATTTAGCCACAATTCTTTGCACCATTTGTGCAACAACTATAAAATAATCACATGACTTTTGGTAAAGGCTGAGAATTTTCATTTATAAAAATAACATAACGTAATATAATGTAATATATATAAAATAAGTTATATATATATATATATATATATATATATATATATATATATATAGTTATTGTTATTTTTATAAATGAAACAAAAATTCTCAGCCTTATAATAATAATGAAGATGTATAATATTTCTTATTCTTCTTTGTCTGCTTCTTTTTTATTTTTATTATTATTATTCTTTGTCTTATTTTTATATAATGTCAAACTTATCTTTTGCCAGTGACTTTTAGCTGATCATTTATTCAAAACCAGCTGCTTGAAATTCACACCCGTTTTCCGCAAAGCCTCGCCCTCCTGTCTTGGGATTGGCTAGAAGAGTCCCGCCCTCTGCGCTGGGATTGGCTTATTGTAAAACGGCTATGGGGAAAAACTAAACTAGTAATGATAGTCTATTTTAACATATTACCAGGAAAATATGATAAAAGCATTCATAAAAAGAAGAATAAGACGAGGAAAATAATTCTCCCTCACGGTGACTTACAACGATTTCAACGGTCGTTCAAGTCATTTAAATGTCGAGGCAACCAATGAGAAGATTGGCTGCGTTCCCGCGTCAGCGCCGCACCGACCAATCAGCGTAGGCGTTGTGATGGGAGCGTAGGGGAGGAGAGCGATAGTAGAAAGATGGCGGCGGGCCCCGAGTTGTTGGACGATGTTTTCTTCAACGCCGAGGTGGATGAGAAGACTGTAAGCGACGTCGTGGGCTCTTTGGAGTCCCAGCTCGTCGGCGCTGGACCCGGTAAGCTCGCCGGCAGGCTTCAGACCGCTGGCGGGCACATCGGAGGCTCAGCCGGGGGCAATATCGGAGAAATTCGCGACAACAACAACATGGGACTGGGGCAGGAGAACCAGAGAGCAGGTGAGTTTTGTTGTTGTTTGGTGTTTGTTGTTTGTTCCTGTTTGTTTCCGTCTCTCACCTGGTCAAAGACTTTAAGCTTCCAAAAGTACAGGAGAGAGACACTTTTAAAAACGTATGGCCGGGTTTTTAGTTAAATATCGATACTGTTAGCACTGTATGGAAGACCGTTTCCGCCACTGGTGAGAAATATGTAGCCGTTTAGTAAGTCATAAGAATGAGAAAGTTTTCCATAATTATGATGAAGTGTCTCATAATTTTGACTTGCTATCTCATAATAAAAAGATTGTATCTCATAATTGTGACTTAATATCTCACAATAAATGAGAAAGTTTCCCATAATTAGAACTTAATGCCTCATATGAATAACTTACTGTGTCATAGTAATGGGAATTTATGTCATGATTATGATAAAATAAGTCATAATTATTACATAGTAAGTAATTTCTGTTAGATACCATGTCATAGACATTATTTTGAGATGCTAAGTCATAATTATGAGATACTAAGTTATAATTATGAGAAAGTACCTCATAATTATGAGATTTTAAGTCACAATTGTAAGATGCTAAGACATTTTATGGCATAGTAAGTCGTAATTATGAGATGCTGAGGCATAATTATGAGAAAGTAAGTCATAATTTAAGATATTAAGTCATAATTATGGGAAAGTATGTCAGTAGTAAGAGATTTTAAGTCAAAATTATAAGACACTAAGTTAATTTTGTGAAAAATCATAATCATGAGAAGGTAAGTCATAATTGTGTAATACTAAGTTATAAATATGAAAAACTTTTTTGGACTTACTAAATGACATTTTTTATATATGTCCATATGTGTGTGTGTATGTATGTATGTGTGTGTGTGTATATATATATGTATGTATATATATATATATATATATATATATATATATATATGTATGTATATGTAGATATATAGATATATAGATATAGATATATAGATATTTATATTTCTTTTTTTTCCATGGCACTGGTAATGTTGTTATTATTCTCACTATTACTGAGGGAAATGAAACAATTCATTCCTACCAACATGGAAGTGTGTAAACTGCTGCTTCTTTCTTTCTGGATGAGCATAGGAACCAGACCCGTGTTCTCTAGTGTAAGAACCCTAAGCAGCTCCCTCTGATGGAATCATCTGTACTTCACTGTTGGGGCCCCATTTATAGCATAGAGCAGTTAATACTCTTGGAGCCAAAGATGTTATGTATTTACTTTAGTAGTAGTGTCATTTGGGTGAGATGGCTAAAATATAATATTGTGACACTTCAAAAAATATATTTATTATATTTGTTAGATTTATTATTTACTATATTATATTAACAGTGTTTTTCAGACATCTGATCAGTTGGAACAGAGGAAAAAAGAACCAGTCATGCTAATATAAAAAAAAACTATTAAAATCTGTAAACACGATGATTTTTATTCAGTATTTTGCACTAAATTCAGTTAAACTGGACTAAGTTTGCTGTAATTATATTTAAACATGCAATTAGTCAGTGTTCTTCAAGTACTGATGTTGTCCACATATGTTCAGAAAAGCATATTGTATTGTATTCTGACATATTTTATCATGATAACTGTAAATATTGTCATATTGCCAAGCCCCAGTGTCTATATCTATATGTCATGCATACATAAGAGCACTGACTGTTTACTTTGTTTCTGTTTTCTGTTAATGCTGTATAACAGGGGCAAGGGTGCCAGCTGGTGGCATCAATGATGCCAGAGTGCAACCTAAAGGTGTGGATGCTGGAGCAGTTATGCCAGGAAACCTCAAACCTGGACTTGGAGCCCCTTCAGCAGCATCCACGGCAAACCACATGCCGGGCAGCGGGCAGAGAGGGACGTCTGCAGTCGCAGCTCTGAATGGAAGTAATGTGGTAGTGAACTCTCACGGTTCAGTGGGTGTTGGACCTTTCTCTAGCGCATCATCGGCACTGTCGCCAGTCTCCAGCATTGTGTCGACCGGAACAGTGGTGAATAACGGACCTGGCTGCATGCCTAAAGGACAGACCACGCCTTCGGGCACGGTCATTCAGACCTCTTTGATGAACACTGCCACTGTGATTTCGGCGCAAACTTCCTGCCTGACTGCAGGACCCACCGTTGCACTCGTGAGGCCGCCTATGCAAACCCAAGTTACGGTTACGGCACCGAATGGCACTGGCAGCTTGGCTTTAAGCGGAGGAGTAAACGCTGTGCACCTGCCCACATCAAATACGCCAGGAGCGTTAAGTTTAAGCTCAACAGGCCAGGTTAACAAAGCAGACTCGGCTAAAACTCTTATTCAGACGGTGGTTCAAACTCCTGCATCAGTTGCACAGCCTATTAGAGGCCACATAATGCAAAGCGGGAGCAGGACTCCGGTGCCAGCGGCCGTTGGAGCCAATCCTGGAGGGATTCGGGCCATAGCGCCACAGGTTTTAGCGCCGAGAGTACCGCAGCCCCAGCAGAGTCAGCCTAGTGTCCACAATATCCAGCTCCC